AAAATCTGCATAGACTCATTTGCTGGTTTTAATGACTAAAGTTAGGCAAAATGGGTTTCACTCTTGAAGTGGCTTGTATCTGCAGTGTCTGTACAGGTCGCCAGCTGCTCCAGGCAGAGAGGTGCCCTCCTTGGTATTTTGTATTGTAGTCATGAAATCCGCTTCTTATGTGTGTTGAATGATATCCTGGGGACTTCAGATATCATGCACAGCCATGGAAAAGCTGTCTGTGAAGAGCCTAGGTAATTGCAAAGTGATTTACAATAAGGCATGGAAAGGCTGCTGTAGATCTGGCTATTATAGTGCAGCTCACTCCTCCAGCCCGGAGGGAGAGAAAATACACAAAATGTATCTATGCATTTGATAGCATGTTGAATGTTATACTGAGTATATATAGAAAAACAAGGACTCCTATTTAAGTTACTGTTGTGATCCAAAAATATCTTCCAAAGGAGAAAAAACCAAACAAGCCAAATCCATGGTCTATAATTACAGCTCAGTAATTTGTAAGGGGAATGGGGCTATATTTTTCTAGTGGTTGTGTTAATATATTCAGTGTAGTATGGATCAACATTTCTGCTTACCAGCTCTGCGCCCTCTTATTTACAGCCTCTTCTTTGCATCCCTATGGGACAGAGTTACTTGGTACTGCCAAGTTCTCAAAGGATTAAAACAGTGAGTTTGAACCTGCAATTCAGATAGCAGCATGACTCCAGGGGCAGCTCTGAAAGGCTCCATGAAATGAATAGGGAAAGCAAGCTCAGACAGACTGGATAGCAGTCCCCTCACATGGAATTTCTAAATTATTTTATACCTACCTTCAGTATCTACAAATTGAAGAAAGGGAGAAACCACTGAAACAACAGAATCTGATGACTGCAAATGAAAATTAGAAATCAAATGCCAGGTTGTAAATGCTGAAGATAAGAATTAGTGCACCTGCTTGCTCAGAATTATGGCAAAACTAATACCGCTTCCAGATCTTCCAATGAAGTGCGATGTCTTTCTAAAGTTACAAGTACAGTAAGCATTACAGCTTTCTTGCAAACCCTGAGCAGCACCCCATGCAGGGCTGCTCAGAGATGTCAGCTCAAGCTCTGGATGCCAAGTGGACATGTCAGGGCAGTGTCGTTTCTCAGCTTATCAACAGAATTAATTAGCGTGGCATACCACGACATTACCACAGCTAGATTAGTTCCAGTTCCACAATCAGAGCATATAAAGACAGATGAGAAACATCCTTGTCTCACCACATAGATATAAATATGCAAAAATCTTGATTTTCATGAATAGAATTCTACATTCTGAGATGAGCAAGTATTCAGAGCAGACCATCACAACAGCCCATAGTTCTTCAAAGTACCTCCCCCTGTAAGGGTGACCAGTGGAAGATTTATCTATTTGCTATACTTTGCATTATCTCCACTGTTATCTCTCTCTTTTGATGAATGTGTCCAATATTCCCTAAAAAATCAAATTGTTCACAATTTACTGGCATAATATATAGTTGCTAATGGATGGCCTTACAAGGGTTTTGGGAAACATGAAGGCACTTGAATTTACCTCTTCTTAAACGCATGTTTTGCTTCTGTCAGTGGAACACGGGAATGTGCTCTAGCACTTTATGTCAGCTAAGGGAATTTTTCCCTTAGCGTATGTCAGCTAAGGGAGATACAACCAGCACGAGGGCAGAGTCAGTGTCTAAGGAGATTAATGCCACACCGACTAATCATAGAATCATAGAATGGCCTAGGCTGGAAGGGACCTTAGAGATCATCTAGTCCAACCTCCCTGTTTTGGGCAGGGACGCCACCTCTCGACTAGACCTGGCAACACATGGGGACCGAGCGGGAAATAGTGACACATGGGTACCAAGCGGGAAATAGTGACACTTACCATGCCAAAAAACCTTCTCTGGGTTAATGATGCCAAATGTTATCCCACATTAATTCATATTAATGTGTGCTACATAGTGTACATTGCATTAATGTAAACAACACCTACATTAATTTCATAACAATTACATAAAACTGCACAATTCTAAAGCCAGCATGCAGCACATCATCCCATTTGGGTGTATTACAGCAAGCACCAGTGAAGCATGCTTTATAATGAAAAATACAAAATGCTTTAAAATTACTTTTAGAAGGAAAATCTGTTTTCATTTTCTGTCTCAGTTGTAAAAATAAAATATTTCCAGTCATACAGAGCCAGAGCTAGTCTTTGGTTAGATACGCTCTCCTATCCTTTATTGAGACAGATATGATAAAGAATGTGGAATAAAGCTTTGAGAAATGAACTGAAATACGTTTTCCGCTCTCCTTGTCCTCTCCATCTGCCCCTTAATAATGGTCATAGTGACATGGTTCCAGTAGTAAACTGCTAGACAAATAGACCCGTTTTTCTTCCATGCTGCTATTCTTACAACTTGTCAGCACCCGAGCCCAGCAGGATCAGAATGGATGGAGGAGGGAGAACAAGTGGAAGTGGCCATAGGTGAGCCTGGCACATCCACACTCTCAAGTGACCTGATGTGTTTCTCTAGCCCATTGCTTTCCCCTCATCGAATTCATGATGGGTATGGCTGAGCTGTTGGTTTTTTAGTAAATAACCCCATCCACTTTGGTTTCCTTTTCTGTAAGATTGAGTTCAAGCTGAACAGACCTCAAGTTTCCTTTTCAGATTCTTTACAGAGGGTAATGTCTAATAAGAAAAATGAAATTTCTCTAGAAGTGCTAACTCACCTCCGTTATGATGCAGTATAGAGAGTGGTGGAACGTACTGGGGAGGGAAGAAGAAATGGAAAGAAATGAAATATTGTTGAGAGATTAAGGGGAAAGTAAGTGTGAATGGCAAGCAGAGGTACAGCACGTGTTTATTCCTGCACAGATTCTCAAATACTTGTCTCCTGCTGTGCTCTGAAACAGTCAATCCTGGTCTCGAACAGGCACCCCACTGATTCCTCTGTTCCTGCCTCTTACACCAACAGTAGATCAAAATGAAATTCACATTCTTTCAACACTGTTAAAATGCAAGGAATCTCTTTAAGATGTATCCTTAACAAGGGAAAAATAGGTCAAAAGAGCACATTTGTAACTCACCATTCCGATAAAACCTTTCAATCTGCTGACTGAAACACCTCTGCGCAATGCTAAAGTGAATGAGCAGGGTCTTTCTGACGGAGAGAATTTACATGCAACATAATTTTAGCAGATCTGAAAGTCATTGCAAGAGACACGCTTCTATCTTTTAGTAGAGCTGTTGTGGTACCTTCCACACCACCAACATTTTAAATGAATGCACAGTAACAGTAGTCCTCAGGGTCCGCACACCAAATATGCCTCTGTGGGAGCAAACCTCTGTTCTTTACTTCCTGCTGTTATTTTTGAGACTGTCTGTGCTTATTAGAGTATTTTTTTCTTGCAAGATTATTGGACCACTACTAAACCAGTAAAAGTTAGAGAGAAGGAGTAAAGACGACAGGATCTAAGGCAGTCTCAGTTTTTAAGAGTCAGAAAACAGATTTTCTGTGGGACCACTTTGCTGTCTAGTCACTTACAGTGGAGTAGTTTGCATCTTCCTTTGGAAACTTGGTTTTGTCAGGACTTTGGAGGACGTGACAGCCAAAAGGGCTGTTCTTTTGCTCCTGGATGATTAAAAATATGCAGTCTTAGGTTAGTAGCCACGGAGACTCAGCAGAAGGGTCAAACAGAAAAGAAGGTGGCTCTTCACACATAGATAGACACGAGGAGCCCCATGCCAAAGGGTGTTTGAGATTATAAGACATCTGCATAGCCTCAAGGAAGGGGACTGAGCAGCTATTCAAAAGTGAGAGCTAATGAGAGGTACTGGGCAGACAAATTGCACGTCAAGATTGCAAAATGCCCTAAACTAGCCCTCAGCTTTTGCACCTCTTCCATTCCAAATAGTTGAACTCTTTCTGAATATGACGTGTATGCACTTTAAAGCTTTTTTTTTGTTGTTTTAGAGAAATTCAGTTAGGAATGAAGCATTCAGAAAGAGCTAAAGGATCTGTTTTGACACAGCCATCATCCTTACAGGATACGCTTTGGATCAAAAAATGTGTTTGCAGAATCATCATTCAGAAAGAAATAGGAGTTTATAAATAAATTATGTGAATTTAGTCCCAGAAGCAATAAATATGTCTTTGGAATAATACAGTCCTCGGAAAGATTTCCAAGACAAGGCTTCCTAAAAATACGGTGTCAGATTCCAGCATACTAGGAACATGGGGAAAATATTTTGACACCACTGAGAAGAGCAATTAAAATCTTATGTCAGATTTCAGGAGAAAAAAATAATAGTGTTTTTAAAAAGGCTGAAACATTAGAGTAGCCTTATTCCGCATGAATGACTACAAAACCAAGTTGGCTTTCTACTTATCAAATTTATTTCCAAGCACTTGTTGCCATAGACAAATAAAACTCGGCAGAGAACTGAAAAAGAAAACATGCCAGATATTTTTTTTGGTTGCGCTACTGAATTTAGCATCAACATAATTTTGTAAAACCTTCTTGGACTGAATTTTTGGTGATTTTTTTTTTTGGTCTGGTTTCCCACCCACTGACAAATACAAACGTTTTGCAGCTTTTCTCATGTCCAATATTTCAGATTCCCAGCTCTCTAAACGCCACATTTCTGATCCTGTAAACGCATCTGCTGCGGGAGAGGATACAAGCAGCTGGAACCTTTTTTCTTACTCTATAATCTAATGCACTTAGCGAGCCAATGAATATGTGTGAAAGGAGGGGCTTTCTGGCTAAGGGACTCCTTGCAGGGGAACAGCTGTTACAAAGGCAAAACCTTAGCCGAAGCCAGGCAAACACACTCACTTGCATCTCTCAGCGGCTTGGTGCATCTAGGGCTGGCACGACAGCTCCTCCTCTCTCTTGCTCTCTCTGTGAAAAGTGAGGTAACTAGCACAGAGAAACTTAAAGAAGACCAGATCTCGGTCGTGAAATGTTTCAGCAGATCCAGGAATGGCCTGGATCGGTAACATCTCCTGGATTAATCGCCTTGCTCTGCATGAAGAACATTTCAGGAGGTATTTAAACAGCACTGATGATTACTTAGCCTTCCTATGTGGGCCTAGACGGAGCCATCTCTTCTTGCCCATGGCTTTGGTGTACACCCTGATCTTTGTTGTTGGGGTGGCAGGTAACTTCTTAGTTTGCCTGGTGATCCTCAGGCACCAGAGCATGAAGACGCCAACCAATTACTATCTTTTCAGTCTCGCCATCTCAGACCTGCTTGTGCTGCTTTTCGGGATGCCACTGGAAGTCTATGAGATGTGGAGCAACTACCCCTTCTTGTTTGGGCCCGTTGGCTGCTATTTGAAGACGGCACTTTTTGAGACAGTGTGTTTTGCCTCTATCCTCAGCGTGACCACAGTCAGCGTGGAGAGATACATCGCCATCCTCCATCCTTTCCGTGCCAAGCTAGAGAGCACTCGCAAGCGTGCCCTGAGGACCATCGTGGTGCTCTGGGTCCTCTCTGTCCTCTTTGCCCTCCCCAACACAGGCATCCATGGCATCGTGCTGCAGTACTTCCCCAATGGCACCCTAGTCCCTGGCTCTGCTACCTGCACTGTGGTCACGCCCATGTGGATCTACAACTGTATTGTCCAGATTACTTCTGTTCTCTTCTTTGTGCTGCCCATGGGGGTAATAAGTGTGCTGTACTATCTGATGGGGCTAAGAGTAAGTCCTACTCTGACTGTGCTCAGTGTTTCCTTAGCTCATTCTTGTGTGTTTGTGTCTGTATTTGTCTTTTAAGTGATTGCACCTTTTTCTTGCCCGTGCTTTCCCTCCCTCAAATAAACCCAAAAGTATTTCAAACCTCTGGAAACAGTGGGTCCAACTCCTTCTTTGGTATAATTCCATTTTCAAATGAGAATAGCTATGTTGGGGAAAAATTTACCCCTGTCTTAAAAAACTTACTAGTGCTGCTGCTCGCATTTGGATGTTACTTAAACATCCAAGTCTGTAGATTGATTTCAGCCTCTCAGAGATTAGCACATTTGCAGTAGGCACTAGAAGGAAATAGACCAAAAAGAAAAATGTGAAAAGAATAAAAAGGAGCAGGCTAGCGACTGCATCCTGTGCATTATTTGTTTTCCCTCTTCTTGCAACCATGGAATTTCCACGGCATTACTTTATTTTTTTTGGAAATGGTGATAATATTCAGTTGTTAAAACTCATAAAGCTGTTGTAAACTGAAATGCTACCTCATTGCTGACACTAGCAAATTCAGCAGTTGTTTCTTTATATAACTATTGCATAGTTTCACCATTGTTTAAGGCTTCCTCAGAGTTCATTTTCATTCTATCTTCAGAAAGTAAGACTAGTTTCACCAAGTATTGTTCACTTAAGTACACAGATAAAACAACCAGTCTCACAATATTATAAAGCTACGTAGCACAACATTGAAATGCACTGCTAATCATAGCAAGTCGATATTTCAAAAACATAGATCCTTTCTCATCACACTAAATATAACTTAAAGTTTAAAAAGCTATGTGTGATTATTTAGCAAGAAAAGGATGCAATATCTTAATAGAGACTAAAGAATTTACCAAATAATGTTCAAGAAATTTAACCAAATCTCTGCTGGCATATATATAACTTTGTCGTGCTGGTTGATATTTACTGTTACTGAAATTATACAGAAGTAATTTTTCCTTAGCCAGAAAAAGCCACAAGGATTAACTTTCATGTCGCGCACAGCAGATCTTCAAAGAAATGAATGGGTTAAGTCGTCCCCACTGCCTAGTGGATGTTGTGGGGTCTTTAAATAGTTTCACTGAAAATTTTGCAATGTAAGACCTGAAGTGAGGAGAAAGTACTGAAAACATAGCTGTTACAAAAAGAAAAAGATAAATCCTCAAACTAATATCCTTGAGATGGAGTCCCATTGCTTGGGAAGAAATTTGCGCTGCAGTGGGTTTCAGTGCAAGGTCCTTGTCCACTTCCTTCAAACTGATCTCTAAAAGGACACAGGGGTGGATGGTTACCACTGGTTGTCTAAAAGTCAGACTCTATTTAATGAGGATTTTTGACAGTGAGTGAAGAGTCCAGGAACTTTTTTATCCCACCTACTTCAGACATCTCTAAGAGGGAGGTCTAGTTGATCAGATGGGACTTGATTGACCTCGACTAGGCAGGACAATATTTTCTTTCTTGTCTTAGTGTAACTTCCCCTCAGTAACACATTGGATGTACTTGTAATTTTTACTTCAGTTGTCTTTAAATCAAGACAATGCATTTTTGCTAATGCACAGCAGGTCCAGTTTTTGTCATTAACATCTATTTTGCTCCCCAAATTCCCAGTTGTTAAAATTAGAATCATCTTTGGACAGTGATTGCCTTTGGCTAATTTCTGCGGAGCCCAGCATGCTCCTGGAAGAGCCTGTTCCCTTTCCACAGAGGCTGTTGAGCAAACCTTGTACCCTCTAACACTTTTTCTTTTGCAATGGGGGGTCAACTAAGAGTACACCCGGTCTGCAGTTCAGCAGGTAGACAGCAAGTGCTTCAGCCAAATCACTGCAACAGGCAGGACTGCATGCTTTGGGACAAGCCATGAGGTTTTTAAAACATCAATTTTTCCATGAGCTGGAGAGAAATTTTGGTCATCACTCATGTCAGACAAGCTGAGGAGCTTACAGAAAACAGCTCTCCTGCTTTTGCTGCGTGGCCTTACTAGGTTTCCCTGGGGATAGGTGAGTCCCTAATCCTTTTTCTTTCTAGTATGAAATGCTGTGGCTAATAAAGATGTTGGGGAAGAATCCAGTTTTCAGCTTCTTGCTCCCAGCACTTAATTCTCATGCAGTGAATGGGTAACACTGATCCTCAGGCAACCCTACATAGCCTCATACACCCACAAGTGATGTGGCTGGGAGTTCTCCCTCTGTTAAACCAGTGGATGAACTCAAGTTCCAACCTTTGCCATGGACTTTTTTCTTTTTTTTCCCCCCTTCCTCCTTGCCATAACTCATTGTCTATGAAATTGCAACTGCTGAGTTATTCTTACTAGTTCCACCTCCATCTATTACCACTTGAGGCTAAAGAGGAGCATTATAGCATCATCAAAATGACAGGAGGAAGGTGAAAAATAAAGATACATATGCCTCTGGTTTATTACAGCATCAGTGCACTTTATTCTCTGAGGCTTTGGAATGTGTCTGAAATAGATTACTGCTGAGACTGAAAACCACTGAAGGGAAACTAGGGATTTTAATCAATCTGAGCAGGCATTTATCACTAGATATGTTTCAAATCAACTGAGCCTCTTCCTTAAGCAACCATGGATATGACTAAAAGTTATGAAGGGAATAATGTAAAACATGAGAGACTGAATTGCACTGTAATTGAATATAATTTGATTTACATGTGTTTCCTTTTCATGGGTTTTATGAATAAATAAAACATTGAAAGAACGTTTCATTTGATAATACTTACAGAAAGTATTGCTAATCAAAAAATGGGAAGCAAACTCATAGCGTAAAAGGCAAAAGAAAATACACAGCTAGGAGGTTTTCACAAGATTTTCACAAACCCAGATCGATTTTTATCTTTTCCCTCATTCCTGATATTCTTTCACGTATAATTAAAAGAAGTTCCTGCTTCAGGAAGTTGGGGCCATTTATGTACTTTCCATAGATGATCTCTTTTATAATCAAAGTAATTATCATGGTTACTAGACCTGGCCTGTTCCTCTTCAAAGCACCAGCGCTCTCACCATATATATACCGGGGAAGCATTTTTTAGAAGACCAGGAAAAACTACTGGAGAAAACCACCTGCATTGTAGTAACTGGGCAGCATGTGGCTGGATCTGTACATGTCACACACACCGGCTGTCTGCAAGAGAGCATATACGGATTTTGTTCATTAGATGGATTGAATATCAATTAGTCCAAATGAACTCCCTTGAATTCTACAGGAATTTATTCAGTGATTACAGCTGTGTTTCAGAGGCCTCTCTGGGTATTTTTTGGATCATTGGTTTGTGCTTAATTGTGGGGAACCTTTTCAGGAAAACAAACAAACAATATTTTGGTAGAAGAGAAAATAATGCCTAACAAAATATTGTTGACTATTAGCACAAACTGTGAACCAAACACTGACTCACTCAGAAAGAACAACTGGGGAACTGAAATACAAATTTGCTGTAAATACGCAGTCTCAGATGCATAAAATCTGTAGATTGTTTTGATTATAAAGCTTCAATGTTTTTCTACACGAAAACTGAAATTTAGATGTAGATTTTTTTCAATAAGTCCTGAGTTGCCTCAAATTTTGCCTTCTCAAACTACAGCTATACAAATATCAAACAGGCTATGGGGATGTCATCTCCTGTCTAAGCTCTCCTGTGGTTTTTCTCTGTTTGCCAGTTGAAAGTAGACAAATCTTTGGAAGTGAAGGAAATGGCTGTGAATGTCCAGAGACCATCCAGGAAATCAGTCACCAAGATGCTGTGTAAGTACTGAGTCCTTCTATGCTTTATTGACCACGGACAAGAAGGTGACCAGATCCTGAAAGGTATCAAGGAAATTCACTGGATACAAGAGCTACGTGATCAGTAGCTGTAATTTAAAAAAATATTCATTGTTGTTTTATCTGGACTTAGAGGGCATGGGAGAGAAACACCATGGCTAAATATCAAAGTACTCAGAAGAGCAAGTTTCCTTCCCAGCACAAGAAGAGGTTGAGCAAACCTACATGGCAGATGATTGTGTGGCAACTCTCTAATATCCCTCACTCCAAACCTGGCTCTTGCAGCCCTCTAGGGAAGATCCCTCTTTTTAGAGTGCAAATAATCTATCCTGTTCATTTTTAAAGGATGTACATCTGTTTTGCATCACACCATGAGCTCTGCTCGTAAACAGGAAGATCTTGCTAAGCCACATACATCACCTACTGTTAACCACTTAGACCTTCCCAAGAAAAAGTAGCACCTAGACAGACCTCCAGATTGTAGAACATTCAGGAGAATTTGTGCTCCAACCACCCTGAAAGCACTCACCTAATTTCCTAATTAAGGGTTGTCTTTAAGGCAAAGATCACCTTGCTACCAAAATGGTGTTTATGCAGGAAACATAAATCACTTCCAATATTGCCTGCAACAACATTATTCTTTTAGGCAGCGTAAGTCACCTTCTGAAATTGTACTTTGAATTCAGCCTGATTTTCTGCGTCCCACAGCTGTGATCCACAGATCTTCACAGGACCCAAGTTTGGAATGGGTTTGTAAGATCCATTACTAGAGCCAGCACAAGCCAAGCTGTGCGTGGAGGCAAAATCTTTTTCTTTCATGCTGAGCAGCACACCCAGACAGACTTATCAACAGCAGATTGATCCTTATTGATCCAGCCTTATCCTGCCATGAGATGTATAAATATTGCACAGAGAAAATTAACTCCAAGGCACAAAGGAGTCAGTGCGTCGCAGGTACCGGAGCTGAATCCCGATCTCTCACTGGCAGTTGGGCCATTGGACTCTGTACGTGCCACAACATTACCTGGCTGTTGCCTGCTCTGAGTGTCACTGCATATGTATGCTTTGGGTTACCCAGCACAGAAATCACTGGAAAGTTTGTTCTTTTAGCTTGTAGGATTTTTCAGTAAGCACTGCATAAAGACAGAAAGGATGGCAAAACTTTTGAAACAATGGCTACAGTTTGTATATTTAGTCTTTCATCCAGCTTATTGACTATCTCTGCTCTGTGCAGGCTAGTGAACCACATCCTTCCATAACCGACTTGTTTTTCTTTTTCCCTTTCTCTGTGTTAGTTGTCCTTGTGATGGTTTTTGCTATCTGCTGGGCTCCATTCCATGTTGATCGACTTTTCTTCAGCTTTGTTGTGGAATGGACTGAGCCTCTGGCTAATACATTCAACTTAATTCATGTGGTGTCAGGTAAAGCTTTCTTCTTCCATTTGCACAGGGGCTGGCAAGAAAAGAAAAGTATTTGTGAGTGGTTTACTTGAAATATATAGTCATTCAGTCTGTAGGTGACATGAGACATGCATGGAAAAACTTCTTGGGGTTTGGTGAACAATGATGATGTTTGTGCCTGAAATAAAAACTGCATGCAAGTTTCTGCAACATTCAAGACCTGGGCATGTTGCCCAATACAGTTGTCTGAATATTTGCAAAGAACGGAGAAAAAGAAAATAGGACATCATACATCATTACCAGCTGCTTTTCCTTCTTGGAAATGTTTAGAAATGAAGTTTACTGTTATTCAGCTGCATTTAATGAATATACAGCAGCAGGCATTATCCTCAGAGGGTCTCGGAGGCAAATGAGTAACTTTACCAAATGGCAGGACAAAAGACTTGCAAACTGCTCAGGACTAGGTGATATAGCCAAATATTTATGGACCCACCAACTATGTAATGAAGGCTTTTTCAAAGAGGAATTTTATTTGCAGTCTGCCATGGAAAAACACTGGATGTGGCCATTAGGCAGCTCAGACAAATCCAATCTCGTGCAATTGTCCTGGTGTTATAAGAAATAAACTCTTGGCTGGCAGTTATCCTCCGACAGTTTTGATGGGGGCACCAGCTGTGCAAGTCCTGCTGTGGGGCTAAGGGCTGTGCTGGAGGCAGGTCAGCTCAGCTCCAGAGAGAACTGGTTCCTGAACAGCTGGAAATAGTGAGCTCCAGCTAATACCCTCTCTCGGTTTGCTTTCCCTCTGTGTTGCAGTGCGTGAGCTCATCTTGGCGAGCCTTCCCTCTGCCTCTGCCTGGAGATGATCAAGCAGAGATGTGCTTGTTTCTGCTTCCACCCTTGCAGCCACACTTGGTGGAGCTGCAGCACAGGCAATGAAGACATTTTTCTTTTCTTAAATGTTCCACACAAAAAATTAGATCTCTCTCACCCCATCCTTGTTCTCCTAGGTGTTTTCTTCTATCTGAGCTCTGCCGTGAATCCCATCATTTACAATCTGTTGTCCCAGCGCTTCAGGATGGCTTTCCTCAGTGTGATCTCTCCTTGCTGCAAGCACTGGGTCCCTAACCATCCCACCAGCAGGATTCTTGCCCAGCAGAGCATCTTTGTGGTTGAGGACCACAATCTCGTGGACTCTGCTGAAGACATAAGCCTCCCTGGCACCCACAGGGCATCAGTCAGCAGTTCTCGGCTCTCCACTGGTCTGTGACTTTCAATGTCCTGATCAGGTGAGAGAGAAATTAAAGAGAATGACTTCAAGAAACAAAAGGTAAGAGACTGTCCTAAAAGACTGATGTTAGCAAGAGCTCACAGACATGTCTTGTTGAATGAGTGAGTGAGGAGAGTGTAATTAACAGGTACTTGAGAAACACTGTATTACTTTCAAGCTAATAGGAGGGCTGGGAATCTCGATTTACGGGCTGCAAGCTGTGCCAGCAAAGAGCTGCTTTACAAAAGGGAGACATTCCCAGTGCTACCAGCACAGGAGGGAAACACAGGCAGCACACTTAGATCTAAGTTGATGAGTCCCTGAGCTCCACTAAGTGCGAGTTTTGTAAAGGGAGGTCAGGGTGAACCTGTTACATGATGGAGAGTTACGAACCTCCCGAGTTTCAAAGTCTGCTTGTGTTTCAGAAAAATGCCTCCCTTGTGCATCATGATGCAGGGCTAGGCTTAGCCACCACACTGGGCTCAGGCTTGTCACGCACTGTAGCAGAAACTCATTCTATGTGTGTCACCAAGGGGCTGGGACTTACTTACATAGTCAGAGAACACAGAGTTATAACAGGTAACAACATTAGTTCCTGGAAGATCATACACTGTATGCAAAAAGGCTGATTCCAGTCTGGTCACTGGGGATCCAGCTGACATTTTCCACCACAGAGAAATGGGTTAGACTCCTGCTAAAATGGGCTCTTACCTTGTTTGCCTCAAAGTCTTCTGTTTTGACTCTCACTGTGGGACTCCTAAACAAGGCAAGACCTGGGAGGCTCATGGCAGCTGGTGAATTGCTTTTTCCTGCAGTGCAAGGGGAATTGTAGTCCATGTTTTCTGTCAGACCCATCTTACCAGCTACAATCTTGAGAAACAAGATCATGGAGAGGGTAACAGATGCACACACTGGCCTCGAGAGAAAAGGCAATTCCTGCTCCCTGAAGACACAGCTGAAACACTTTGCCACCCCCAAGTGGACACTTGAGTTTTACCAGGGATTACATTTCCAACCAGTTTTGTATTATCATTTTTCCCTCCACCAGACCTTCCTCTGTAAGATTTTGTGGCTCTTTGAATACATCTTACGTATTTAGGACCAGAGAGCATCTTGTGGTGGTGCACAGGGAGCCATCGATGAGTGATTCCTCTCTCTCCTCCTCCCTTCATGGGAGAATTGCAGCTTTGGCTGCAATTCAGGGTTGTTAGATGGATCTCTTGACTTTCAGACAAGCACATAGACCCGTAGTCAAGGCTGGGAGGTGAAGCAGTAGGGTGAAAATTTTATGTGATCTTAAATAAAATGGCCGCGTTTTTGTTCCTAGGGAAGACAAAGGGTTTTATGAAGGAAGAGGAAGTGGTGGAGGGGAAAAAATCTGTAAGGATAGGGAAATTTTAGAATAGAAACCATGAGAAGCAAATGACCAGGAAGTCACCTCCAGTTCTGAACTAACTGGGGGGGTTTCCGTGTCCTTAAAGCAGTTTTCATCACATTTAATTTGACACAAATCAAATAAGCGACACTCAAAACCAAAAATTACAGAGCTTTTTTGGCCAAACATCAAAAGCAAAGCTGAAAACATTTAGTATTGCACCAAGTCAAACTTTCTGTGAAAGTGCTACTGGGGGAGACATGTCAAAATTATTCTAAATTCTGCTAAAAAAGAAAATAAATGCAGTGAAACTAATGTGAGCTGGCTTGTGGTTGAGTGCTCTATGTTAAGTTCCCTGTGACAGCACAGCTCCGTACCCCCTCATTCCTGAGGGGAATCTCTAGAAATCAGTCAATGGACTTAGTGCCTAAAAAGTAGTCAATGCCCACTGGAGACTTTTCTTCTCAAAAGGTCAGTGCTTGAGCTATTTGTCATTTTGCTTGTATATTCACCTGATTAAATTTTTAAAGCTGGATCCAAACATGAAAATACTAAGAAAATGAATAGAGATGTCATGAAAGCTGGTGATATTCCTTTGTTTATACATTCAGCAGTTTTCATAGCCAAGTGCTGAAAACTGTTGGCAACTGACTGAGCAAAACTCCTGTTGCAAGAAAAGGGAGAACAACTCATTTTCCCTCGAAGTGGTCTAGTGTGAGAAAAATGTATTCATTTGAAATCAAGTGTGACTTCCTAGATAGAACTGTCTATTGATTTATTTCTCTGCTTCTGTTTTCCTCTGGGAAACATGCGAGCATGGGAGCAGAAAGTGTGGAGAGCAGGGGCAATGCTCCGGCACTGTGAAAAAAACATGGACAGTTTGAAATGTGTTACAATAAAGCACTTAAAGGAGAGAATCACTTGCATTGCCGAGTGATATTCAGATCTAATGCCAGGTTCACTACTAGAAAAACATCGTGACAGCAAGTGGACAATTCTGTTAAGTTTATATGAAGAGGTTTTGGACACCAGTTTGTTTTATAAGTGTTTAAACCACGGCTTATAACTGAAATTAAATGTATACTTCAGCTGCAGAGCTGGTTATGTGTATCTATGTGTAAGATGAAAATAAATATACTAGCATCTCTTTTCCTATGTCTGGTCAATCCCCCAGCAAGCCCTGTGCTTCTTGGTTCTTCCTCTGATGTCACATGAGCACAGAATATGGAAATTCCCTGAATGTTCAGCCTGCATCAAGAGCAGGACACTGAGGACTTACTATAAATCTCAGTAGTTTTAAACAAACAAAGAAACCCACGGATTGTTACAGCTAGTATATATGCATGAAAACACAGCACCAATCCCAGTGTGGTTTGTTGCATGCAAGTGTTCTGCATGACTGCTTCTTCAGGTTAAAAACTGGCCAGCACGGGTGTCATAGCCAGGAGAACGTCTCAAAGCAAAAAGCGCATGCCTTGTATAAAATAAGCATGAAACATAATGTAAGAACCTCACCTAGAGAGTCAAGAATTGCTGATTTTCTTCCATGTTTCTCTCCAGTTCACATTTTGGCCAGTCAGCAGCCTGCTTTGGTCATACCCCAGACGCAGAAACCTAAGCTCATTCACCACCAGAAGTGGAAGACTTTCTGTTATTGTCTAGACTTTGTGAAACTGGAAAGTTGCAGCTGTTGTTTTTAAGGCAAATTATCTTAAATCCACTTAATTTTTAAAGAAGGATTAATTTTATGACTATGGGAGCCATTGGAATAATTTGCTTCCCACTAGGACAGCTAATTAATTAATGAAATACTGAAGTTTTTGTTGTAAAAGCCAAAACAACTTTTTTTTTTCTTTTTTTTTTCATGTATCCTCAGCATACACTACATTGTAAAATGCAGCAGTTACAGTAGCAATGACAGGATCCTCCACTGTAACTTTGACACATACATACAGCACTCGGTGGGGTGACAAGGAACCATTCCTCAACTGCTTCAAAGTAACCATCTATCTCCATGCTCTTATACTAAAGTAATGCAAATCAATTTATGTTCCTGATTGTTTAGTCTGGAGAAGAGGAAGCTGAGGGGAGACCTTATCTCTCTCTCCAACTACCTGAAAGGAAGTTGCAGTGAGGTGGGGGTCTATCTCTCCTCCTAAGCAACCAGTGATACGACAAGAGGAAATTGGCTCAAGAAGCACCAGGGGAGGTTTAGATTATATTTTAGGAAAAAATTATTTACTGAAAGAGTGGTAAGGCATTGTAATAGGCTGCCCAGGGAATTGGTGGAATCACCATCCCTGGAGGTGTTCAAAAACAGGTGGATGTGGCACTTCGGGACGTGGTTTAGTGGTGGGCTGATGGTTGGACTTGATGATCTTAGAGGTCTTATCTAACCTTAATGACTCTATGATTCCGTACAACAAAGATGAAGAGGTGACTGACATCATTCCAGTTGCACCTAGTTTGCTTATGTATCTCAGCCTCAAAAAGAGGGGCTGAGTCACGTGGAGCTCTCCCTCTCTGCATATAACGAGAAACAGTCCCTAAGTTCAGGCTGACGTGTCAGCTTACCAATTCCCAGTACATACAACACATTCCTCCAAAAGGCAGCAGTGACTGCAGTATGTGATTCAGCCTTAGCACACTCCACATTTTCACAGTGTCTCTTGCAGTGACATCAAGTAGAACATACATAAGTGTTAGCCTCAGTTTGGCCACTTCATGTCTAGTTTCTTCTGCTATCTCCCCTCCCATGAAGAACAGGTATACCAAAGAATCATATCTCTCCCCTGCCTCTCCACTCCTGCCTTTTTGCTGTTAAGAAATTCCACTGAAGACTGAGTCTTTTCCCTGCAACTTTATTTGCCAGCTGTAGGGTTTTCATACTGTATTTGTATTCCAGTCCCGATTTCAATTACCTGGCTAACCTTTTCAATTTTCACAGAGAGTGCGAATCAGAAAACAGCAGGTCCTTTATTACAGCTCACACTGGCAGAAAATGTTTCACCCCCCTTCCCTCCTCTACGTTTACTGGAAAGCTCTGTCAAATTCAAACAAACCCATTGATCATAACTTGTCTATTTACTTATGCTTTGCTGACTCCTAAGTATTCTGCACCTTTCTGCAGAAATCTCTTCCATTCTCCTTTTGGCTTGAACGTGCTATTTTTTATATCATTTCTAAAAGCTATGGAGAAATAGTCTTAAGTCTTCATGCTAGTGCTTTACTCCAGTGAAAACTCTCACCACAGTCAAATACTGGAGAAAGTAAAAGTCTTGTGCTTCAAGAGGGTGTATTTTCCGGTCTTTGATAAGCAACATGTGCTGGTAAGCCAGTCGCAGAGCACTTCCCAGTGGAAGCTCAGAGCATCAGAGGGGGTCCCTCAGACCAGAAGGCAAGTCAGACACAGGACACCATCCTGCTGATCCCAAAATCTCTGCTCTGTCTTGAAACTGCACTGGCCACAGCTACCACCTGCGAAAGAAATCACTTTCCTTTCCTTTTTTGTCTTTCTCAGTTCCCTAAGTCATAAGCCTCATATCTCCTTCATTCTTTCAGGCTCTTCATATAGCAATAATTGCCATGCCAGTCCTCTGTCTGCCTCATCAATCAGACATCCTAA